CATTCGCTGGGACTTACGAATTCCGACATTATTCAGCAACGAATTTTTGATACATTTATGGAACATTGTTGTGTTTCTAAATTTGTAAAGCTTGTAAATGAAGTTAGACTGCAGCAATCCTTCAAATGCTAGGGAGGAGAAAGGATTATAACCTTGTTTGGTTAAATTTAGCAGTAGGAGTTCCGAAAATAGGAAGCAATTCAGAAGTTTGCAAAATCAAAAAAAAACACGCTTAGGTGTTACCCCTGGTGTTACCTAATCTCTAATCTCTAATTTTTACGGAATTTTCTAAGGTTTTGAAAAATATTTCGAAAAAAGTTGTGAAAGGTCTCGTCAGGTTAGAAACAAGATTTGTAAGAAAATTTTCCCTAAGACATTTACATGAATTACTGAATCGAAGATTCTTAAAATTTCAAAAAAGCTTTCGAAAAGAGTTTCACAGAAAATTCGGCTTTGCGGAAAGGTTTCTACTAAAATGTGTATGAAGGCTATCTAATTATCTATGATTTGAGAAAATTAATGTTCTCCAAAAAAGTTTTCGCAGAGATGAGTTCTATTTAAAAAGTATTGCTGTGTGTAATGATTCAATTGCAACACTTCTGAAGCTTAGCTAGCTTTTTTTCTCGATACACTCCGCACCCCGGCACAACAAAATAATTAAATTCTGACGTTAAATTCTTGATCCCAAGCAAACACTGACCAAGATCAAAATGATTGAATTGCAAAGGTCAGTTACCACATTTGGAAAAACACTTAAACTGACTTTGGACGCGAATCAATAAAATTAACCGTAATTGAGCATGAGACTTCACTCTGCGTCGTTAAAGGGATGGAATGAACACACTAATTGCATAATTTTACGTAAATAAAATTTATTCTACAATCATACATGAAATTAAGCAATAACATTCTATTTAACATCAATATTGTACTAGTGTCCAAATAAACAAATCTCGCATTTGCGTTCAATTACAAAACATTAACAACTGCCAAGAATTTTTCGAGTTACAATATCCCAGTACGCACAAAACACTAGCTATTTCCGGAAGCAAAACACCTAACAACATATGACACAAAAAACCTTGATCTTCTCACTTCATATCTCCAAACAGATAGCGACGTTGATTGTTGTATCTGGCTGACGCAAAAATAGGCCACCAATAACTTGAAACGGCTGTCCGTGTTACGTAGACGAAAACTTAAAACGTACACGCGCGTGTCTTCTTCAATTTCACATGCAAAATCAGGTTCGGCCTTGAACTTGGTCGAACTTGGTGAAAAACTTCCCTCTAAAATGACCACTACTGGGCTTTGAACCTGATAAAACAAACTTCTTTGTCTTAGAACAGAAACTCTCCCCGGCTTCAAATAAGGGCAAGAAAAACTTCTTTAACGGATCGCAAACTGGGCCTCGAAAGTTGATGGAAAAACAACTTCTAACGACAGCAAGTCGGCCTCGAACTCTGCCAAACGGCCCCTACTAAGGGAGTCGTGCGGTATTTAAACAATCTTCCCTTGTTCTAATTTATCCCGATTAGATAACCAATTACAAACCCTTGGTAACTAAGTAAACCAATCAACAACTTGTCACATGTCGCGTCAATTCGCACGTACCTCACTCTTTACTTATCTTAACTATCACATTTCTACGAAAACAGAACATTTTGTTTCTGATTAAAATTCCACCTAAACAATTACTTTAATTTTTTCTAAAATAAGCGAAGAGCCCAATAAATCAAATCGGAGCTGTCACAAACGCATTAACCAAACAAAATTGTTAGCGAAAAATGGAGATAAAGAGTTGTTAAGATCTTTTCAAAGGTTTTTAAAAATGTGTTTCTAGGAAGACTTCTATAATGTTTCTCAGAGGGAGTTTATGATGATTTTTAATGAAATGCTAAGAAGTCCACTAGTAACATTTTTAGAGGATTCACGTTTCTTCAATATCCTTTTTTTAAAATAGGTCCTTCAAAAGCTTTTCAAGAAAATTTCTCTAAGCAGACTTCTATCAAGGTTTCGAAAGAGATTTTTTATACTCCTAAAACTTTTCGCGTCTTTAAAAGTAAGACAATTTCTAGGACAATTTTGAAAGCCTCTGAGAAGATTCTTATGTATATTTCAAAGAAGGTTTCTGGCAAAATTCCAAACAAAATTCCCACACATGACTTCTAAAAGATATACACGAAGTTCTGAAAACGGTTTCGAATGAATTGTTTAGAAAGAGGAAGATACCTAGAAGATCCCTTAATAAGTTTCTATAAACTCTTGTGAAAGTATTCGGAAAGGGTTTGGTCAAATATATATCGTGAGCTACTTTCGCTTAGGCCGATTTTGTGTCGTGGTGTTTTAAAGTTAGTGACAATGATTCCGTTTTAGTGGGGTATACAGGGTGTCTTAAGTTGCGTATCGATAAAAGTTTCAAATAAAAGTTGTACGATTCGATGGGATAAATTAAATGGACGTAGACAAAATTTTTTTAAAAATCTCTTCATTTGGCTATCCTATCACATATTGAAATTTCCGGCATCGCTTCCGGTTTAACCGGAAGTTGATGCAACTTTTGTTTTTCAAATGCACAGAAATACCTACCATCACTTCAATGTTTCGTTTTGAAGATTTACTTTTGCGCAATACGGTCTCCCCGTGTAATTCAACAAGCACCGCGCATCCTGACAGCACACGGAATGCTAGATTTTACAATTTTCTAAATATTGAATAATTAATTTCCCCATTTTTGTGTATATCGGTCATATGCATATTTTATGTTGTCGTACAGAAAATTGATTGCTCGTCTCAAATACCGTAAAAACATAACAATTGCATTTGAAAAACAAAAGTTGCATCGATTTCCGGTTAAACCGAAAGTGACACCGGAAGTTTGCATTTGCGATCGATAGGTCGTATATAAAATTGTGTTTAACAAATTTTGTGTAGCTCGCCAAATAAAAGAGATATTGCGGTGACCCTCTTATCACGAACGCACTGTATAGTGTATATGTATTGTAGTGTACGCAACTCATGTCATACTTGTATTGTGTGTTGCCTTCCTCTAATTGTCGATACTACATGGTGCCTATACGTTCCTATTGTCGCCACTGTCTCTATAAAGTTACTGTAGAAATGGATACAGTGACTTTATACGAGACAGTGGCGACAATAGGAGCTAAAAGCATCCCCTCATCGCCAAAAACTGTAATTTAAAAATTTTTTATTTTTATTTATCGACAATCTGCGTGCGGGGTATTATGTTGAAACAAGCTTCTTAAGCTTTATTTCTTTCAGTGATTTTGTTCTAATTGGCTCATGTGTTTCGGAATAAATTTTCGTCATTGTCAATCAATGAATTGTCTGTTTTTTCGAATCTTTTGTCCGACCCAGATAGAGGCGTCATGTCAGATTTTTATGTTGGGGACAAAGATTTATTATTTCAGGTGTTGTTCAATTATATCACAGATTTACTCTCCTTATCATATGTGAATTATGTTAGTATGCAGGAAACGCTCATACGTCAACCCTTCCAACATTTGCTTAATATTGTTTTACTACCTTTGCAGTATACTTCCTACTAGTAAATAATAATTTCATTATTATTCTGTATTTGCTTGTCGTTTTAGAGGTATAGATTATTTGAATTTTTTTTGGGGCCACCGTGTAACGTTATTTAATTTATACAATGACTTTATACTAGACAGTGGCGACAAGAGTGTCTAATTTTTTATTGGCTGCTGAAATCGGCGGCCATGTTGAATCGGTTTCTGCTACATGTATATGGTTATTGTGTGCCATACGCGTCTTGTGTTTCCTACACTACAAGGAATTTTCGATGCAACTTGGCGGCGAGGGGATTCTTTTAGCTTCAGTTGTCGCCACTGTCTCGTATAAAGTCACTGTAGAAATGGATTACGCGCGCAATTTTAAACAGTCTTGATAACGCCAGATTCGAAGGACCGCATCCCATAGAACGCGAAAATTTTTGAAACATCTTATTTCTTCTAACAGCGATAAGAACATGTGCGTTAATTAAATTTCGGTCGATAAAAATTCCTTTGTAAATTCCGTTTTACAATTATATACACAAATTTAAATAAACAATTTACAATAGCGACAACATTTAAACAAGAATTTAACCAACTTCTAAAAGGAAAAACAACACTGAAACACTAATTCAAATACAATAAACCAATATTGTGCTTATTTGTAGAGAATCCCCCAGACTTACATAAATTGAAATATGTTATTATACAGGATGTCTCGTCATTATTTTCGATGTCTAGACCGTCATGACGTTTATCTGTCCACTTGTCTATGGTTCAGGTAGGAAAACTGTTGGTGTCAAACTTAGAGTTGCAATTTTCGTATAAGTAAATCATGGAATGCGCAGTCAAAGGCTTGAGTTAAATCGACAAAACTAGAATTATGAATTGACTTTAGTTCCAAAAAGTAATAATACAACGAAAACCAAACTTAATTACTCGACTCTATGTACTTTAATTGCATTTGACATGCGAACTATGTAAATACATATAAATTAACTTATAATAGTTTCCTTCTTACAGTGTGCTTTGTAGCGTTAATTCCAATTTGCGTCTGAGAAGTTCTATGTAAGTGTCACAATGTACAGTAAATAAATTGGATTAAGATAATTACTCCATTATTTCACTTCCGACGTATTAGATAATGATTCGTTAGCGTCCGAAAGCTTTTGCACTAAAGCCAAACTGTTTTTCTCTAGAATTTTCCATACATTGTCATGCAAACGCTGTGTTTGATCAGAATCTCACGGGAGATCTCAGCAGCGCAACATGCACAATACGCACAGATTAAATGTGAAAAAGCTCGACACGTTTTAAATTTTGCAAACGGGGAAGGGATGCTTTAGTATGCCCGTTTAGATGAACGTCAACGATATACGTCTCGAAGCAATGTTAACAATAGATATAGCGAACAATATTAGTGTCAGGAACATGTCTTCTGGAATAACAGGCCTCGTATTGTTTCAGATGTCACTCTCCAAAGGCGGTATTCCAGTAATCGGAAACTGCAACCATGTCGAAAGGAGGTGTTATAATGCCGAAGGAAAACAAAATGAAAGAATCCAGCGCCGTTTCATCGAGGCCGCCAGACAGCACTTGCTTTTCGAAATTGCATCTTAATAGCTTGTGGTCCGTATGGTATGGGGTATTCGGAACGCTGTTGCAACTTTACATTGCAACGAAGTGCATTAAGAAGCTTAATGGTAAGTTTAAAACTTTTCTCGTTCCATCAATTTTAAATGTGCACGTCTACAACTTATGGGATGTTTAATTAATAGTGAAAAGAGTTTGCTGAAACTTTCATTAAATTTGAAGTAGTTAGTAGGTAATCTGGTATTAACCAAACTTCGGATTTAATACACCATTCTAATTTTAATTAGTAGATAGTAGATGGTGTAATTTAAATTATTTCTCTTTCTTTGGAGCCAATCCCCTATATTGATCGCAACTCTTTCGTAGACACGCCTTCGCAATAAAATTTTTGATTTAGAAGACTCCAATTATTCGACGTGCCGTGTCATTGAAAATACGCTAAAAAACTTTTTACCTGACTGAAATTTAATAATCCAGAAACATCGTGTACCTTTGAGAAAAGGGCCTCTCTGTGAAACAGAAAACGAAGTTAACAAGACGGATGGCGAAGGTATCTAAAGTTTTACAATTGTTAAAAATTTGAAAAGGGCCACTTAGAAGAGGGCACAATGTTCCTAATTTAGAGGGAGGTGTTTCTTCTTCGTAGGCGTTTTCCAACTCGAACAGGTAATTACGAAGACATTCCGGGTTATAAGGAAGTTTCAGGAATAATTGGGTTTCGTTTCCTTCCAAACTTAATGACCGTTTGCCGCCATTCGTTTAGAAATCGTTTTTACGTTTTAATTACGCTAGTCCCGAATAGGTTGTGTCCTTTATCGACATCTTGCCACTAGCAAATTGAAATAGAGGCTTTGCTCCATTAACGTTTCTAATACCGGGTGGGGTAAAAAGACCCCAACTTAACTTTCTCTGTGAAATTGTATTGATAATCAGCCCTGTGATGTATCAAAAACGTCGAATTTAACGTGCAGGTGATTTACCAAGAAACATTGACGCATATAACCTTCACGTTAATATTAATGTTAGTGAAACATCACAGGGCTGAATGTTATGTTATGTTTTTGAAATAATTTTCGTAGCTTTTAGGTCCTTTCTGTAGCTTTCTAACTACACGTCAGGGGTACTTCGAGCCCTTTTATTTTCCTCCCAGATCACTTTAGGTCCTTTGAGGGGTCCTTTCCATAGGATTTTGACTATTGACAGAGTGTTCCAGTCCCTTGTCATTTCATTTCAAGTAAAAAACTACAGCCCAACATGGAAGAGTTATTTGGGATCTCCTAGATGTGTGAAGCGCATAGAAATGTAATCTTAATGTAAAATTTTTAGATTATATTTACCAGACGAATACAAGAACCACATCTTGCACAATTTCAGAAGGGTTACCACTTCGAGGGGTCACTTTTTATATTGTCATTGTGTCAATTTTCTCAAAAACTCCTCACTACAATTTTGCGGGTCGTGAAAAGACCCTTAAAATTAGCACCAAACATGTATACATTTATAACAGGTGGTCGCTTTAGGCTTAGAAAGATTTGGTTTAGAATTTTGTACATATACCGCTCCATAGTAAAAAATAGCAAAACTAAAATGCGAGAGAATGAAGCGCTTTCAGATAAGCAGCGAGTGTACAAGCAGATAAGATGCAAAACGCTACAGTGTTGCCGGTTGTAATGACCGTTCTCACGGAACATGAGGAACGGCTTTGCATGTATAACAAATTTGCTGTGGCTAGCCTTTCTTCTATGTGTACCAAGTTTGGTACTAATCGGTTCAGCCGTTTGACCGGAAATGTGAGTACAGGCAGACAGACCGACGGACATAATCGAGATTTTGTTTGATTCGGATTCCTGTTGCTTAAAAACGTGTATTTCCGTTAAAAAAAGTGGGGGTGGAGGTCATTTTTTACCTCAATGCAATACCTCCCTGACGAGCGGTTGGTAAAAATGAAGCCGAAGTTTGGTTTATGTTGGGTTCGTTTCGGGTTTTTAACTCGGCGACTATAATAGGAAAAATTGGACGAATGGGAGTCTTCGCTGAATCTTCAAAGTGAATCTATGTAAGTTGAACGTGTAACATTTCCAACTGAGGAATTCGTGTAATCACGGTATATGGAATTTAACAGCCGCGTAATCGTACGTGAAATTTAAAATTAATTGCCGAATTACAAAAGAAACTGTGCCGCCAATTCGACGAAATTGTTTTGTGTGCGTTCAAAGTTCTTTGCGAGTTGGCATTACGAGTAAACTATTCCAGCGCGTCAGATATTTAGTGCGTTGTACGTATAATTTATGATACGCTTGAACTGCTGAACGCACTGAACTTTACATAATGCTCGTCAGGAGAGAATATCGGTCAGAGATCACCTGATACCGGTCGTATGTTTTTCATAGTAAACCATACGATTGTAGATCGGCATCAAGTGTTCTGTGACCGGCATTCTTTCCTGGCGCGAATAATACACGATTTGTTCTACTTTGGCATGTGGAAACTAGCAGAATATATTACTTCTTTTATTCTTGAATAATTTCTTTCGAAATAAAAAAACAATTACAACACGCTCGAGAATGTCTAGGTAACGTTTTTTGCAAGTTTGTGACTTTACCACTCGCTGAAATCGTTAGATTATTGAAATGCACACTTTTCAACACGTAGTCAGCCCACCTTACTTTATACTGATGCCCTCGAGTAAATCCCAAAATCCCCTATTGGGCTCCCCTACTATTCCGATCTTACATATTATGTGGAGCCTTATGATTTTTCGGATCCATTTTTTAATTCTATAGAACACCTGGATTCATTATTGAAGTCGGTTTTTCGGTTTCCTTGCATTTTTTTGAGCTGTCCATTTCTTAGGGTTCTTTCGTTTCGTCGAGTACTTTGAATTATGTTCCTACGTTTTTTTCGACGCTTCTTATTCCTTTGTTGCTACCGATTCTTCAGAGCTTACCTTTATTTTGCCGGTTCGTAAAATTCTTCTATTTCAACTTTTCAGATCCCTAAGCTTTTCAGTTGTACCAGATAAATTCTTTGTATTTTTCCGTCTTTTTCAAAATTTTCCGACTCTTTAAATTGGTCAGGCGCTTTATTTCTTCACCTTCTTCGGACCTTTCGAATACTTCCGATGTTTCGTGATTTTTCTAATCTTTTCGATTCCTCGAACTGTGTGCAATGGCATAAATGTGTCTAACATGTTAAACAATAGCCGTCCTTATGCACTATGTACGACTTCCATCCAACTCTAACAACACTTCATTTGACATAATCTATTCTTTTCTAATTTAATTTAGACGTCAAGTTTGGGCCCTTCCGTAGCTTCCAATAGTCTTGTTTTCTGTTATAAACTTCATTTTATTTTATACTCTGCGTCCCATTTTTAATAAGAAGGACATATGTCATTATAATTAACAATCATTTGTTTCACTTTATCTACCCTTACGGTTAAAGAAAGTACTTTAACCATTCTTACTGATAAAGCGAGACTTACACCTATTAAAACGTCAATTTAACATCTGCTATAAAATAAAGTGAACTACTTCATTTTTATTGGTATCAGCATTTGTCATCGGTCATCCTGTATGAGTTAAATTTCAAGGCTAATTGTGGTGGTTGATTTCGATTAAACTCCAATGCGGTCATTAAATAATCGCCTTGTATTTTGATTGGTGTATTGTTCAGTTAGATTACGTTTAGAAAGATTAGGAACATCTGCAGATAATTTCGTTGTTTTTATATGTTTATCTCACTTAAATTCGGTCTTTACGAGAGGGGGAGCTGGCCGTTCTTTTTAGTGCACTTCACCTAGTAATGTGTAGCAAGGGAAGGGATCGAAAAGTTAAAAGAATGATAAACAGGAGAAGCTGACTTTAAACGGGGCTTTTTGATTAGCTTTTTTTGGGCGAGACAGTTAGTCTTGGTAGTTGTAAAGTTCTTGTAGAAGAAAGTTTAGATGTTTTTTATTTGTCGTTATAAAAGTGAATGTTCTAGTTCGAGTTAAGTTCAAGCGTTGTGTCACGTGCTGAGTCTATCGATCAGTGGGGTATTTCCAGGTATTTCTAACTACCCCATAAAGTGAAGTTATCTACCACTGAAAAACCACTATTACATTTGAAATTCCAACGAAGCTAGTTTGTTCAAATTAAGAATTAATTGAACGTAAAGAAATGAAGATTCCGAAGCAACATGAGTTGGCGTTTACGATTTTGGGCGCCCGTTCAAAAAAATCGCAGATATTAGAATTATTAACTGCTTAAGATAATTAGAAGTTCCCTTATATTGAATTAGTTTCAATCGATCGCACGTGTGTGGTATTTTGTATGAGTGCCTTTCTTTCTCATAGCATTATTGATTGATTTTTCTCGTGTGTAAATGATTACCCGTGTGTTTTTATCGAGCCCAAGTTACGATCCAATAATTTTCATGAAATTATTCTGTCTGTATCTAAATAAAAATTTTTAATTCTCAAATTATTTGGAATTTCGGAGAGGTGGGCAAGTCTACTGATGGTCCCAAAAGGTTTAATTAAGACTGTTTAGAGACTTTAGTTGAGGCAGATGAAGGACGTGCCCTGTAAAAGTTATAATTAACTTATATAAAAATTTTGTTACAGTTTTAGTTTATGGGTGGGAGTTATTGAAATTACCCGAGTTTAATTAACCTAGCTAAGGTGTTAATGTGGGTAACTACTAATACATTATTATAAAAACACAATTGTTTCCCAATTTCAACATACATTGGTGTTTTTCCAAGGGTTTTGTTCAATTACAAATACTTGTTTCTCAAATCTACACTTTTATTATAATTGAATAGCGTCGTTTCGAATTTATTTACAAGATGAATTACGTGTTGAGTATTACGTAAACGTCTAGATGTACTTTGCGCATTCTAAATTTCGTTATAGCATAACTTGGGGAACTGTTGTCATTTATCTTGTTGTGAACACTTAAAGTTTGTAACTTGAATACTAAGTGTATCGTAGGACGAACTTTAGAGCGCCAAATAACGTTATGACAAATTCTTTACTATAGCATAAACGTTTAAGGAGATACATCGTTACACTGGCTTGTCTTCGCTGGTTTACACGAAAAATGATAACTTGAACATAAACAAAAAGAAATGGTATCTTATTTTTTATTTATAACGTCTTTCTTTTCAGGATATGAGTTACTACCGTGGCCGAATTCCTCAATTCCGTACGTCGAGCTAAACGTTAGCTTAACGTTATTGGGAATGGCGGTATTCTTTCTAATTTTCTTTCTTTTGTCTTCATTACTAAAGGTAATCGCATTACTAGTTTTTCACTCTAAGTCTATCGCTTTCTATTTCCAGATTGGTAATTTGGCAAACGACAGCTTTAAATTGGGACTTCAACTTAGTAACTGTAGTCAAGATCCACCTTCTGAACTGTTAGGAACTATGGGTGCTTGGAATTGGTGGACACACGGAGGACCAACAGCGCCGTTTATACACATTCTTATAGCTTTTTTATTACTACTACCAAGACTGCTTATGGAAACGAAACTTATAGCATCGGGGTTGCTTCCACAAGGTAGGACTATTTTTAGCGGTTGCTGCGGTATTGTACGCGGAAAGTGCTTATTTTCCGGTTCTCCCTTGTTTTATAAGGTTATTTTGCATGAAAACCATCAAAACGTCTGTTTAATTTACGAACCGTTTGAAAGACGAGGGATAAACCCCCTTTGATTGCCTAAACGTATGCTACATTGTGGCATTGCGGGAAATTGAACGTGTGCTAAAGGAAGCGTAATAAAAAAGCATGTAGTAGGTCTTTTCCTCCTACAGGATAAATTTGTGTTTATTAAACGCTCTCATGCGGGTTTATTACTGCAATTAAAGTACGCTTGACGGTGAAATTTAATAACTATAGGAATCTCGATTTACGCACTCGTAATAGTCAATTTGGTTATATACACCACAATATACCAAATAATTGAAATATTTCTCTCAGTATCCAACAAAACTTATCAATAACTAAATGCAAGCAATTTCAATGGTGATACAAAATTGGAGAAAATAAAATGTAATCGTATTGACTGATGAATCCCACTTCTGATTTGTTAAAAGTGTAGAAGTTCAACGGGATAAGTCCACCAGTGGGTTAAAAGCCGGGTACTCATAGGCGATCTTATTAAAATTTGCAATTTCAATCTTACGAAAACATCGAATGCAATCACGAAGCACGTGTGTTGAGCAAATTTAATGCCCTTTCGAATTTGCAAAAGGTGCAGTAGTGAAATATAAACCACGTCAAACGAAACCAAGCGTAAACTTTCGGGTCAGATATTTGAGAAGTACGAGGGCTTCGACTCGTCTTCTGTTATCTTTTGGCCCTCCAATTATATTCTGCTAAAATTTTACCGGAGAGAGCAAATAATTTATTCACCCCAACTTTGTTTTGATAAAATGCTTATAGACAATCTAATTAAAATTAAGTTGATCATTACGCGTAATTTGATTAAACGAAACGAATTTAAATTTGCCCACCACTACCAACGCGATTTTTCACGGGGTAAATTATTTACACTCCCCGTTCCGCGAAAGTTGCATCGACAAATCAAGTCGCTTACTCTCCATTTTTCGTTGTAAATCCGTTTATGCCAACTTTGCTCGGAAAATTTTAACAGTTCTTAAAACTCGGCGGTGTAATTTGTAAAGGGGCTAAGTAGAAAATATCGACGGCTTTAGTTCTGTACTTTTTCTTTATTACTGTAAATGATTAAAAATCTAATTTCGCAAACGTTTCGACTCCCGAGTTTCTAAGTTTAAAGCAACTATAATAAATTTTACTTACTTTAAAAAGCAGGAAAAGAATATAGTTCCATTTACCAAAATATCTCTCTCGTTTCCTATTTGTCTTCCAATTTTTTGTAGCTCCACAGATTTTGCTTAAAAATGCGGAGATTTGGAAATCCAAAACTCCTTCGAAATGAATTATCATTTTATACCAAAAATTTTACTCGATTCAGCCATTTTACAAAGATAGATTCATTTAAGAATTTTCTTGATTACTTTGAATGAAATTTTACGCTAATTATTAAAGAGAACCGATGGCTATTTTGAATACAAGTCAAAAAGATTACGTTACCATAATTTAGCGTTTTCAGGAATCCCTGGTTTAGTTCAGTCAATTTGTACTTTATGGTTGCAAAAGGTCCGGTAGAACATTTTATTTTTCCGACTTGTTTAAATGGTAAAGAGAGAAAAAAATTTCCCAATGCGACTGGCGTCGGGAGAAATCTCTGTGGTCAAAAATCTGCAAAAATTTCTGTCTGTTTTCGATTTCTTTAAAATAACGAAAATAAATCATGTTTTATGCAAAATTGTAGTGTATAAAAATACCTTTAATTTGATATTTTATTTGACCCCCTAACATGTATAGTTTAGGAGATATACTAATTTAAAGTTTCGTGCGTCTAGTAATTTTTGAAAATAAACCATCTTTTATGTATTTACCCCCTCTCCCTCCCACCATTTTCAAAAATTTTACATGGCATCACTAGAGGCATGTACATGCAAAATCTGACACAAATTAGTTGTTTCACATTACTTTTAATTCTTAAAAAATGCGCTAAAAATGGTTTCCAAAAATTTCGAAAAACACAGAACTTTAAATTGGTGTATCTTCTAAACTCTGCTTCAAATCGCGTCTTGTACCTCCGTACTAAATGCGTGGTTTGTTCGAACTTGATTATTTACATTCCTAAGATTTTGATGGACGGGCGGCTTTTGCACTAACTTTAATTGTGGGATCGTCTACTTAAGCTCCACCAATTTACTCGCTAACGGTGTGACGCATAATGCCCAAAAAGCTATTATTTAGAATCACGCACTTGACGGCTATCTTTAATCGTTAACCAATCGGCTTCGTTCCCTTACTCCAATCAAATGCGTTAATGGTTATCTATCAAAACCATCAGCACCACCATCGCTTCACTCGATGCTCCATGCGATCACAGTTACTTACTAATTCTGATTCAGCTGTTTTCATCATGTAAAACACGTCAGTTTGGTGCCGATAACCTTTCCCAGGAAATTAACCAATCAAGACGCATCCGGAGACCAACGACCCACAAAACATAGATCTCCAATAATGTTATTAAGATCTTATTGACTTCAAAAAATTGAAAATAATAAAAAGTTTGCAATAAACAGCCCCCTAACGGGGGCACCCTGTATACTTCCTTAAACTGAGCCACATTAACGAAGAATTTAAATCCATAGGGAGCTCCCATGTATCCGTTCAATGTAGGTAAATTGACCCTCTATTTTTTTTCTTTGTAATTAGTATAGCGTGTTGATTAATTGCTTTTGTTTATTTCCTGTCGATTTATTAGGCGTTTGAGGTATAAATTTGAATTGGTAGGGCCTTTGTCTAAAATTACGCATTAATTGTAAATGAGCTAGCAGTTGAGCAAGGGTTGTACTTCTGGGGAAATTTGTTTATTTGCTATGGATTTAATAATAACTAGCTTCAATTATACTTTAAAAGTTACAATCTTTGATCCTTGGGTAATTTTCCTATAACTTGACTTCATCAGGGTTGGTTTTATTAGTTGCGACTAAGAATAATTCCCTCTGATTCGGTAGGAATCGAAAATGTTGGCTAACAGAAAGAAAGCTCCGCAAGGGGTCTCAAAAGGTCTTGATTGAGGTGAGACTTAATGCACTATATCCCCCCCCCCCCTCAAGTACAAATTATTCTAATATTTTCAATTCACAAGTGACGTTTGTCTCACCAGTTTTAAGTATGTTGAAAAACTATGAGGTAACCCCAGAAAGCATTGCGGCAGCAGTGGGCAGTTTCTTGATTACCGTTTATGGCTACACAAAGAGGACTGACCGGTCGATAAACCGTAGGAGGTACAAGAAGTTTAAGACCTCGCCAAAAATAGCTGCACTACCACTATCAACTGCTGCAACCACACAGCACAGTTTTCCTCTGAGATCCTACGCCCTGCTTAAGCTTCTCAGCAAAAGTAAATATACCGTTGCATCTACATTTTTGGAGATATGCCAAAATATAGTACGCAATTCTAAAGCGCCATCTAGCGGCCCCATTTTGATAATGCAAAGACGTGCTTGAGATGGCCAGTGTCCTCTTCTTCGACCCGTTATCGTCATCGGATATAATTCCTTATATCTCAAGAACCGATCGTAAGAGGAGGGCACTCTCAAAGGGCGGTTGGGACGTCTGGAAGAACACTTTAAGGGCGAACAACGGTGTGTCGGAGGAAAATACACACAAAGGTAAAATTAATCGTTTGGACGAGACCTATTTATTGGTGAAGTCGAAGCGAATATCGGAAGAGGGTACTCTCAAAGGGCGGAAAGATCGTCTAGAAGAGACAAATCTGGCGATGTAAGAGCTTAATATTACAACTGGAAAATGTTCCTACAAAGGAAAAATGCAAACGTCATTTGTGAATATAGACAATATACATTACTAACGATACAATCGAGGATACAATGCACAATTCAAAACTTATAATTAAAAAAATGTTCATTTAGAAAGTTAACGAAAGAAAGTATCGGGACCCTTCTATTCGTCCACTTTTAAGGTTGTGGCTACTATAGTATACATCAGGAAAAAGGGAAATCGATAATAATAATATAATAATAAAGTTTTATTATCTGTAATAGTCATGGACTATATAAGATTTGTCAATACGTACAAATACATTACATTACATTTAGTCACAAACATATTACATATATTAAATAAATAACTAAAATTACACAATATAATATTAAAATGCCAATATGCTTTCTTTGGTGCGGTCTAACGGCGGAACCGTCTGTCAAAGAAAAACGTTATCCACTGTCTCCAAGGATGTCTATCATGGGGATGTCCAAAACCATAGAAAATACGATGGTCAAATTGGGGGAAAGTTGCGCAATTTGTGTTTATCATGCTTTAAAGAAAACCAGAAAATTCCGATTACTTCCGAAATTTCCCAATTTCGTTGATTTTGTAAAAGCCGCTTTACATTAGGCAATTTTAGTGCAATGCAAGGCTTGTGCTATGCAATCTAAAATTGCCTTGCATTGCTTTTACGGTTTTACATTCATGCAATTGTGTTGCAACTTTTGTGCAAGTTTAGAAAAGTGTTGCAGTACTGACAACATATTTTTCAAAAATTGAAACTTTTCAGTTTGTTTACACAGAAGGTTATTCATGAAACTTAATAAAATTGACCATTATAGGTATGAGCAAACAAAAGGAAATTAAGCTGGCTACAGCTTGTTATGTGGTGGCGCTTGCTATTAAAAAAACACACACAAAATAACACACGCGAAACCAAATAAATTGTGGTATTGACAAAATTACTAGAAAAGTTACTAGAACTTGCGCCAAACTTGCAAGTGAAATAGAACTTTCTCTATTTATTTTCTTGCACCTGAATTGCGTATGAACATGCGCAGTAACGTATCTCTAACTTGCATTGCTCTTGCATTGCACGAAAATTGCCTAATGTAAAGCGGCTTTAACAGATACAACAAAATAAAAAAAACCCATCCTCTTTAGCA